GTCAGTTAAAAAAATTTGCTGCGATTCACCTAGATATATCTGTGTTCACTGATTTTTTTTAGCGGGGGGAGAGGCAGAGGAAGAGGGAGAGAAAGAATCTTAAACAGGCTCCTTAGCCTGATGTGGGGCTCCATCTCACAATCCTGAGATCATAACCTGAGCTGAAATCAAGAGTTGGACGCTTAACACACTAAGCCACCCAGGTGCTCCTCTGTTCACGGATTCTTTTTTTTAAGATTTATTTATTTATTTATTTGTCAGAGAGAGAGAGAGAGAGAGAGCGAGTGTGCTTGAGCATGAACGGGGGGCGGGGAGGGGTGGCCGGCAGGCAGAGGGAGAAGCAGTCTCCCCACTGAGCAAAGGGCCCTATGTGGGACTCGATCCCAGGACCCCAAGATCATGACCTGAGTTGAAGGCAGACGCTTAACCGACTGAGCCACCCATGCATCCCTGTTCATTTTTATGTGGAACGTGGCAAACTATTTTGATCAGAGTTAGAAAATCTTTATTCATTTCAAAAGCATGTTCTCAGTTGTATATTGGATTATTGCTCCTATTCTGTTTCGATTTTTTTTCTTTTCGGAAATAGAAGTCTTTTATTGGTTTTTTATCATCTTCCTTCATGGTTTTTATCTGTTTTTTCCTACAAATTCTTACAGCAGTTTTCATGTTTGCCCTCAACATAAATGCTGTTTTCTGAATAATCAATTCAGTTCTTTATTTCCAATACAAATTTTGTTGCTACATTTTTAATTTTTGCAATCATTCTTTATCTTACCCATTTTTCTTAGTCTCACTGTGTGTCTCCTTATGACTTTATGTTTTTATTTCTTAGGGAATATGGTTGATTTCCTTTTGGGTATACCAAATAGCTTATAAATGTTTCTACTAATGCCTATAGAGAATTCTTTTCAGAAGACTGCTTTTTTGTTGAGCCTCAGGCTGATACCTCCTCTTCCTTGTCAAATAATCTTTTTTTTTTTGTAGGCCCTGTTTTTTCTCTTCTATATGAGGATAGATTTGTTCATAATCAGCGTTTGCCAACAAAGGATCTGGATTGCCCTTTGCCCTGCTCTATTCACTCTTTTGAGTTCCTTTTTATACCTTCAGTTCTAAAGTGAGTTGTTTATGTATATCCTCTAGTGTATATCTATTGTTAAAAGTCTGCCATCTGGTGCAGCTTTTCTGGGCAGATACGGGATCTTGACTGGCTTCTCCTCATTGCCTTGCTCTCCGACATTCTGGTCAGAGCAAGTATAAGAGAACGTATGGCTCTCAATGTGCACGACTTGCTTGAGTCTCCTTTTTTTTTCACTTTATAAAGCTTTACTTACGAAGATTACGCCTCCTGTACTACGATGTGTTTGTGCCAGAACTGCCTTCCTCTCTGTTCCTATATACAACACACATTTTCTGGGCTTTGTAGTTTTCTTCTGAGTGTAGGGATATAGAAAGACAGTAAGTCCTGGGGAACAACAATGTAGCAGCTATAAGGATGTATACCTGTGCAGTGTAGGAACTCCTGTGGCTTTGTAAGGGACATAATCTTTGTATTTCCAAGTCAGGTAGTAGATGATAGGCAAAGGATAAAACATTTTATTTTATTTATTTTTTAAAGATTTTATTTATTTGGGAGAGAGAGTGTGTGCATGAGCAGGGAGAGGGGCAGAGAAAGAAGCAGACTGCGCTGAGCAGGGATCCCGATGTGGGACTCAGTCCCAGGACCCCGGGATCATGACCTGAGCCGAAGACAGACGCCTAACTGACTGAGCCACTCAGGCGTCTCAGGATAAAGCATTTTTGATGATCTTTCACACGTGTAGCATGTTTGATTTTTGTTCTTTGTGTACTATGTTATTTGTATCTTTCAATCTAATTCTGTTGTTTTCATAATTAGTAGAAATTTTTACCAGATTCTAGTCATCAGTTGTTAGTCTGACTTTTTATTATTGTGATCAATAGGAAACACTTATTAAGTATATATTATGTGACAACACTGGTATAAATGCTTTAAATGTATTAACTCATTTAACACTTTTGTGGGGTAGTATGATTATTACCATTTTATAGAGGCATAAAGAGGTTGAGCACTCTACCCAAGAGCACTTAGCATGTGGCACAGTCAGGATTTGAACCCAGGAAAGGTCTATATATTTGCATATTGTAAGTTTATATCCTGTTTTTCTGCATCTTTATAGGCCCATCCTTCCTCCCTCTCTCCCTCCCTCCTTCTGCTCTCTTTCTTCTATGACTTCATAAAAGGTTGTATCGTGAACTGGCAACTAGATGCCATTCAAAAATATGAATGAGTTTTAGAGTGCAGAATATAAAAAATTATATGTGTGTGTATGTTTTAGATCTTTAGGTATTGCGTTAAGGTTACTTTATGAAGCAAATAGTTAAACTTTCAAAAGTATGATATAATTTGTTTAGATTGCAAGTTTATTGAACAGAATTAATTTGTTCTTTGTAGTTCTTAGTTTATTGGCTGTAGGTGAACATTGGGCTATGGCAATAATGTCTAACCATTTTGTCTAATCCTCCCTAAGCACCTAACTTAAAAAATGACTTAATTATCAAGAAGAATTAGATTCGGGGTGTCTGGGTGGCTCATTAGGTTAAGCGTCTGCCTTCAGCTCAGGTCATGATCCCAGGGTCCTGGGATCGAGCCCTGCATCAGGCTCCCTGCTCAGTAGGGAGTCTGCTTCTCCCTCTGCCTCTCCCCCTGCTTGTGTTCTCTCTCTCTGTCAAATAAATAAATAAAATCTTTAAGAAAAAAAAAAAAGAATTAGATTCATTAGACTAGTACTGCCCAATATGGGCACCACTAGAAATATGTCTGTTGAGCACTTGAAATGTGGCTGGTCTAGATTGAAATATGCTGTAAGTAGAAAATACACTCTGGGTTGCAAAGGCTTAGTATGAATAAAAGAGTATAAAATATCTCATTAATACTTTAAAAATACTACATGTTGAAATGACAATATTATTTATTTATTTAATGTGACTACTAGAAAATTAAAAATTACATATATGGCTTGTGTTATATTTCTCTTTGGTATTCTGGAGTGTATAAGATATGATACCTCTTCTCTCAGAGTCTGGTAGCAAGAAAACAGATAAGCAGAGTGGTGTGGTAAGTGCTAGGATAGGAGCTCACGCAGAAGAGACCTCTAACCGAGTTTGAGGGCCTGCAGAAGGTGACCTTTAAAGCAGCAGTGGTTTTTTTCTTCCTTTTTACCTTCTTTTGAAGACTCTAAGTCTACTTTTTGGACTGAAGGAAATAAGTCAAAAGCTACTTAAAAAACTGAGCATCTTTTTTCTAGCGGTATTGGTTCTCAGTCTAATGAAACGAGTCAAGGTTGAAGCAGAAGGCCTGAGTCTGCACAGACATCACTGCTCCGCCCTCCCCCAAAACTGGCTTAGACAACCAAATAGATGCTGGTGTCCTTTGCTAAGTGTGGAACACAGGTTAATTTGAGATCTATTGAGTTTAAGGTGTCTGGGGGACATCTGGTTGGGGAGGAACATTAGTAGTGGGATGAATGGAACCTAGAGTCCGAGAAAACTCTTGGCTGGGGGCAGCATAGATTGAAGTTAAGTGAAGTCATAGATAAGGTATGAGATATCAGGAAGTGAGTAAAGTGAGATATGGACAAACCTCTGGGGAATGGGGAAGGTTGAGGAGAGGGAATTAAAGGTCATCGAAAAAGAATGGTCCCGAGAAGGAAGAGTTTAACAGGACAGTATGCTTTCAAGAAGCAGGCAAGTATAGGCAGTGTCAAATGTCGTTAAGAGATAAAAATAAAGACTGAGAAATGTTCATTATCTTTAATAATGAGGAGGTGATTGGGAAGAAAAGTGGGTTCCCTAGAATGATTGGGTTTGGTGGCAAAGCCAGATCGCAGAATGTTGAGGAATTAATGGGAGCTAAAAAAAAATCGGAGACAATGAAGATTATTGTTTGGTAGTGAAAGGGGCAGAGGTGGGGAGGCTCATGGTAGCTAGGGGGACGTATTTATATTTAGCATATGACAGCGTGTATGTGTGTGTGTGTGTGTGTGTGTTGTTTGGGTTGTAAATCCATTATACAGCCATGTTTCTGTATCTATACATTCTTGGAATCCAGTGTAGCGTCCTTTGTAAGGTAACTATTCAGTAACAGTTGTTGATCATGATTTTAATCTATTTAATATCTTTTTCTTTTTTTTTTTAAGATGCAGTTTTTTTAAATTTTTTTCTTAAGGTTTTTTTTTTTTTTATTTATTCATTCGAGGCACACAGATACAGAGAGAGAGAGAGAGCATTAGCAGGGGGAGAGGCAGAAGGAGAGGGAGAAGCAGGCTTCCCGCTGAGCAGGGAGCCTGATGCGTGGCTCTATCCCAGGACCCTGGGATCATGACCTGAGCTGAAGGCAGACGCTTAACCATCTGAGCCACCCAGGCGCCCCTAATATCTCTTTTTCAACAAGATACCTTATCACCATCATTTGCAAATTCTCTAAACATTAAATGTACATAAGAGCTTGATTTTACCCTGGTTTAAATGCACTAAGACCCCTGGGCATGGCTTAATGGAAAGAACATGGGCTTTGCAGTCCACTAAACTATAATTCATACGTAGATTCTGACTTGTTAGCTGTGTGATCTTGAACAAGTTAATTGTCACTTCTGACCTGCTTTTCTTCATTTAGGAAATGAGGATAATAACACCTACCCTTTACAGGGCTGTTGTGGGATTCACTGAGAAAACATGTCAAGTGTTTTGTACGGTACCTTACACGAAGTAGGCACTCGTAAATGCTGGGTAGAAAAACAGCAACTTTACGTGTTATACATGCCAACACCACAGTTTCTACAGTTTGATTTAAAGTAGTATGTGTGATATAATGTTATAACTTTAAATAAAAGCAAGCATGCTCAATTGCAATTGGAGTGAAAAAGTAGCCTTTGAATAAAACATGTTTCTTTTCTTGCTCCCTCCTCCCCTTTCCAATCCAGGTCCTGAGGGAATCTAACAAATTAGCAGAAATGGAAGAACCACCCTTGCTTCCAGGAGAAAATATTAAAGACATGGGTCTGTAATGGTATTTTTTGTTGAATTTCCTTCTCCTTTCTGAGTGCACAGACTATTCAGTACTCTCAATGTATAGGGAACAGGTTCACTGTCTGCAGGTTCACAGACACCTCCTGTCTGGCAGCACTCATTACTGCCACCCTTCCCGACATGGTGTGTCCTCTATGCCTAGATCCACTACACCTGCTGGTTATGTTTGTAGTTGGACTATAGGGAAACATGCATATTGAATTATATGCTGCTGCTTCTCTGGTTTGCTTTATATTCATTGAAAGTAGGGGGCTTTTTTTTTTTTAAACTGTTGATGAATTTTCAAGAGAGTATTTCATTATTTTGAATGACTGCAGTAAGATACTGGTTTGCCTAGATGAAACATTGGATTGTCACTTTGTAATGAGTAATTTTTCTTAAAACACATTCTTTCTTTCTGTTTCCTTTATTTTTTCTACTTTGAATAAATTCGTGTCAATTTTCGGATACAGATATTTCATCTCCATTGCAAAGCAAGCTGTTTGCATGTAGGTGCTTTTCTTTTGCAGCCTAAAGAACTAAGCATTAACTTATTGTATGGACTGGCAGCAAGCATTTAAGATTTTTTTTTTTTTGTCCTCATGCTTTTACTTTATTAAATCTGTGTGGTAATCTACAAAATACCATAGCTTTTGAGGAATAAAGTAATGTATTAGGAGAATAAAGTAAATGGTTTCTTAGCCAAAGAAACACCACTTTTCATTTTATTGTCAATTTACAACATGTGATAGAAGAGGAACCAGGGAGGGAAATTGAGGAGTGAAGAGAGTATGATACAGTATGAAGTAGAGAGAGCCAGACTGTATACTGACCTTTGTCCAGGTAGGTCCTTTACTCCTGCACTCCTGTATCTTGGATTCGGTTCTTCCTGTGCATTGAGCGCCATCTCACCATCTCTGCCCATCTAATGGATACCTGCCATGGGGGCACAACTCACATGCCTCTGTTCCTTGAACCTTTTCTGATCCCACAGCTGAGTGGACTTCCCCTTCACTGTATTACTTAGCATATGTTTTTGTGCCTCTCTTTCTGTACAGATTGCATGCTCTCGTTTATTACATTTGTTTGTATATATTTTATATCCTTACAGATATGTATTTTCAAGGTCATTTTAGTCTACCTCACAGAAAATATTATGGCTTCTTCCCCTGTGAACTCAATGAAAATTTGAGAGGGTTAGTAAATCTAAGCTCTTTTGGTACCACTAGGCAGTATCAGTATTGGAAAATTTAGAGGAATACCTAATATATTAAATATTCTGATTCAAAATTATCTATCTAGACTTGATTATATGCAAAAATGACATTGAACGTAAAGTGTAAGGCTAGAATAACCTAGAATATGTTAATTCCTCTAGAGAAGACATTTGATTTTTAGTTGGCCTAATGTTAATCTTCAGTTTAGTTTTTTAAAAGTTAGAGTAGTGTTAGGAACATCAACAGCATGCTTTAAGGAAGTAACAGTCTCAGGGTATTGTGGCCTGGGCATATCAGAAGTAGAGAGAGCCCCAGACTACAGTATTTCAACCTTTTAACACAGGAGTCAGATGGTGTTAGTGGCTTAGCTTTGCATGACGTGATGGAAAGAGATTTGAATTTGTAGTCAGATGAACTGCTTTCAAGTCTTAATCTTAGCAGTTCCTGGTTCTGAAATATTAGGCTATTCATTATACTTCTCTGAGCCCTGGTATCTCATCTAAAATTTGTAGGTGTAATTATAGGTCTTATATACAAGGTTTGTTATGAAGGTTAAAGGAGGTACTCAGGTGAAAAATACTTTATAAACTCTGAAGTGCAAGGCCATCAGTGCTGGTTGTTACTACTGTCATTTGCTCTGATATGGTTCCTGGTCATAATCTCTCGTCTACTTCGTGCAAACCCTGCTAAGCACAAATTCTCTCTTCAGTGTGATTTAGCTGCCACCAGACTGAGAAGGAAGGATAAAGGGGCAGAACAAATGATCAATGATAATAGTAACATAGATATAAACCCTTATGTATGTATAGTGCTTTCAATTTTGGAAGCACTTTCATGAGTATTATCTCATGATTTTAGAATAAAAGCTAAGATGTAACAAAACCATGGGGCTAAGAAGGACATATCTTGTGGCAGCATATAGACGAATGAGGTTGATTTTCTTGTGTAAGAAAACTGGCTCTGAAAAGAATCTAGAAATGTTTTAGTAGCATTGAATAAAGCTTTTCTACTGGAGGCAAAAATTTATAAGGGCAAGAAAGTGTATGCGAGGCAAGTTTGTGTATCTTTTCATAATGATGGGTTTATTTAATTTTAAAAGCGTCCCTCTGAATGAAACATGCATTGGAAACAACGATTTAAAAAATGTCGCTCATACTTGAACATTCCTGAGGGAACTGTTTTGAAGGTTAGAAATGTTTGTTATAAGATCAGTCTCATTTCAGATTCCATACAAAGTGTTCAGTCCTTCAAAGTGGTGAGTAAAAAGCAGAGTCAGGAAGTTGTAATACCTTATTAAATGTATTTTATGTCCCTGCATTTTCCCAGAAGCCCCTTGGAAAGTTCTTAGCAATTTATTGCTCCTAGTTGTGCCTTACTTTCTGGAGTGGTGAAGATATTCCTTTATTTGCTCATTTGCTGCTATAATGACATACCAGGGATTTATAAATATTTTAAGATGTAAAAAAGCTTATAGTGGGCATTATGAACTCTACCGTATTAAATACTATTTTGAGCTAGTGGTAGCTGAGTTATTCTGCTTAATTAATGAATGTTTTAAAAAGCATTATACTGTGTAGATTCATCATTTATCATTTAATAGAACAATGCTTGTGATTGTTTCTCTACAAAGTTTGACATCAGTTGCTTGGTCAGGAATATAAAGTCCTCTTATTTTACTGTTACCTTTCTAAGAAATTGTATTTCGTATACATTGCATTTCTCTTACAGTATTTTCACCATAAGTATAATCAGGTCAGGAGTTTCTGATATATATTTCAGATATATTTTTAGAAGAATGTTGACAAATTAGACTGACCAGAAGATGGGTGAGGTGACCTAGAAACTGTGATGACTGGTGACTGTGGCTTGTGACATCTGCAGTTGTTAACCACCATTACTCCTGCCCTTCCACCCGCTACTCCAACTTCCACACGCATTTTATCCAGCAGGCATAGTGGCTAGTCTCGTCTCCTGTCTGAGGGTCGGGGTTATCTCTACCTCTTCTGCCCTTCCCAGATTTCTGCATGGTTGGAAGCCTGCATTTGGCTTCTGAGTTCTGTTGGAACACAGATTCTGTGATTTTTTGAGCATAGGTTAGAACAGCAGTCAGAATTTTAGTAAATTTCACCTGTGAAAAGACGAGAGTACAGTTTTTAGTAGTGCATGATGTAGTAAATTGTGGACTCTTTGCTTTTGCAGCCAAAGATGTAACTTATATATGTCCATTCACTGGTGCTGTACGAGGAACTCTGACTGTCACGAATTACAGGTTATATTTTAAAAGCATGGAACGGGTAAGACTTGTTGGATTAGATTTTTATATGTACATCTGTATGTTCTTTGCAGTTTTGTTCATTTTTGATCATTTTTAATTCAGGCATTTCTAATTAAGATAATTGTACAGTGTCAATTGCTCAGTTTTAATTGTTTTTTTCTTTCCTTCCTTTAGGATCCCCCATTTGTTTTAGATGCCTCTCTTGGTGTGATAAGTAGAGTAGAAAAAATTGGTGGTGCTTCTAGTCGAGGTGAAAATTCTTATGGACTAGAAACTGTGTGTAAGGTAAATGTTATATTTATGCAATTTTATTTGGTTTGAAAAGCTTTCTATTAAATAGAGCCTTTGTGTAGAAACTGGTTTCCAAACTGTCAAGCACATTTCATACTGGAACATCATTCTAGAAGACAACAACAACATTTAGGAGTAATAAAAGGTGATCTATCATGAATTAGGCTTGAATTCTTTTGGACCCAGTACAAAGTACTTTGACATTGATTATTTCATGTTGAGCCTCAAAATATCTGAAGTAGGCATGACAGACATTATTACCTTTAATTTACAAATTAGAAACATAAGGCTGGGCAGTTAAGGCATAGGACTTTGTAGTGGAAGAACTGGCTCTGATACATTCATCAGCGCCTGTTTCCTATTTCTAGTTCTTATAATTTTTCTGCTTCCTGAAACAATGGTGTGGAAAACTTGACATTGTAGACCTTCCCTATTTTCTTACCTAACTCCTATTCTTTTTTTTCTCATGATCAGCTCCATTTAATTTTCCTCCCCATATTTATCTTTGCCATGAATATTCTTTAACTCAAAGAATTTACCTGTTGTACTTTTTAAGAAAATTTTAATTCCAGTGTAGTTAATATACAGTGTTATTTTAGTTTCAGGTGGACAGTATAGTGATCAACAGTTCCATATGTTACTCAGTTCTCATCAAGATAAGTGCACTTTTAATCCCCTTCACCTATTTCACCCATTCCCCCACCAACCTCCCCTCTGGTAACCATTGATTCTCTATAGTTGAGAACCTGTTTCTTGGTTTGTCGCTCTCTCTCTCTCTTTTTTTTGTTCATTTGTTTTGTTTCTTAAATTTCACATGTGAGTGAAGGCATATGGTATTTGTCTTTCTCTGACTAGATTATTTCGCTTAGCGTTATACTCTAACTCCATCCATGTCATTGCAAATAGCAAGATTTCATTCTTTTTATGCCTGAGTAATATACCATTCTATATATACATACATATATATATATATCTCTCATCTTCTTTATCCATTCATTTACTGGTGGACACTTGGGCTGCTTCCATAGTTTGGCTTTTGCAAATAATGCTGCAGTAAACATAGGGATGCATGTATCCGTTTGAATTAGTGTTTTTCTATTCTTTGGGTAAATACCCAGTAATGTGATTACTGGATTGTAGGGTAGTTCTATTATTAATTTTTTGAGGAACCTCCATACTGTTTTCCACAGGGGTTGCACCACTTTGCATTCCCACCAAGAGTGCATGAGGGTTTCTTTTTCTCCACATCCTTACCAACACTTGTTTCTTGAGTTTTTTTTTTTTTTAAAGATTTTATTTATTTATTTGACAGAGAGAGACACAGCGAGAGAGGGAACACAAGCAGGGGGAGTGGGAGAGGGAGAAGCAGGCTTTCCGCTGAGCAGAGAGCCCGATGCGGGGCTCGATCCCAGGACTCTGGGATCATGACCTGAGCCGAAGGCAGATGCTTAACGACTGAGCCACCCAGGCGCCCCATCTTGAGTTTTTGATTTTAGCCATTCTGACAGGTGTGAGGAGAGATCCCATTGTGGTTTTGCTTTGATGATGTCTAACTCGTATTCCTTAAATGTGTTGATACTTGAATGAAACTTAAGATTTTTACACTTTCATCATTCTATTCAGTCATAGATATTTCATACCTGGTGCCACTTCAATAGGTTGCTGTTCTCATTATGGCCTAATTAACACCCGTGCACATTTCAATTCTAGATCACCTTATTTTTTTTCCCTGCTGTTCTGCCAGTGCCAAAAGTAAAAGCAACAGCACATGCCTAACTTTCAAATTACTTTCTTATGCTAATCTTCAAAGTTATATAAGTCTAGTAATAAAGGTAATGACTTAGTAGTTATTTCTATGTGTTTTCCTTCATAGTCAGAAGGGTGTAATAGCTGTCAACCATGTGTCGAGCACATTGTCTCCGGATCACTTTTCTGTAACCTAATAGTAAATAGAGTGTAGAATATAAGCGGACGTGAAAGAGGGAGACTTTGGAATCTTAATCATTTTAAATACAGTTTTTTCCATGGAACAAGACCATTATCGACAAACCCAAACATTTGTAGGGCCCCGTCTATGGTACTTTTAGATAACCCTGTGATTAACAGAGTGATTATGAATATCTCTACTAGTTGTAAAGATATTTACTGAGGGAAAAACAAGGTATCAACTTAGGTTTCCCCACATGTTTGTTTTAAAATAAGGTAAAGCCAGCGTCCTAGTTTTGGATCAGCTTTGTAATAAAATATCCTACTTGTTCATGTACTGCAGGTGCATTAAAGTGCAGTGTTCCTGTATTCAGTTTTACAGAATGGGGTATAATAAAGCTATTTTGAATTCTTTTTTTTTTTTTAACCATTTTTTTTTATTCTTATGTTAATCCCCATACGTTACATCATTAGTTCTAGATGAAGTGTTCCATGATTCATTGCTCGTGCATAACACCCAGTGCTCCATGCAGAACGTGCCCTCCTCAATACCCACCACCAGGCCAACCCATCCTCCCACCCCCCTCCCCTCTAGA